AGATTGAATGGATCCGAAAGATGCATATGAAAACTGAATGTTTGGGGAATGTAGCAAGTATTCATACATGCTACTAATTTTTATGAAACTACAGGAAAACGTTGTTTTCCGCACTGTTAAATACCAAAGTTTGATAATTAATTGTGATGAAGCTATGTTAGCTACAAACATGTATTTATGATCATTTTAATCTCTATATATTCTAGATCAACATTCATATACAAGATTCTTCTGGTAACAATGTTTTTATGAAACTGCTGTGCATTTTCTAAGACGTTATTTTGCAGGCTGTCATTTGAGAAATACTAAAGTTTGTTAATTAATTATGAAGACGCTATAACAGCTATACTCGAATATTTATGTTCATTTGAATCTACGTATATTCAAGATCAACATCCATGTCTAACATTCTTCTGGGAGCTCAAGTTTACTAAAATACAGGCCATTATCTAAGTCGTTGTTTTCCTATTTGATCTTCAAATATCATATGTATGTTCGGTTGTCTGAACTTTAGGCGCAAAATATATTTTCCATTTCTTGTAACAGATTGCGCCATCTGTTAGCAATATTTCAAAGGTTGTAGTTCAGGCATTTTGGCGCTGCACAAAATCCACTTCCTTAAAAACGTTCCATTTTAAATAAACAAGCATGCAAAAATAGTGTATAAATGAGTCTAATATTATTACTTCCATCTAATAATCTAATTGCTAATTACTTTCCGAGTTATAAGCATTTTAATTTCGATGTGCAGAGACATCTGCTGGAATATTCTGGAAACATTCTGCAACCATACATACACAAAAACGAGAAAATTTTAAAAGTTAAACAACTTAAAGTATATCACTTTTTTCTCATTGTATTACAAAATCCTATGAGGTTATAAGTTACGCAACTTGTGTAGGAAATCTTGCTTTATGTGGTTTTTAAACTTTTCTCGTTTTCGAATTCACATATAGGAGTGCGTATCTATGAACAAATATGAAAACAACGTCTTCGAAAATAGCCTGTAGTTTCGTAAAAAATAGCTTCCACAAGAATGTTAGATATGGATGTTGATCCTGAATATTCACAAATTAAAATGAGCGTACATATACGTTTGTAGCTGCAATGGTGTCTTCATAATTAATTCATAAATATTGGTATTTTACAAATGACAGCTGGCAAAATAACGTCTACGAAAATGGCCTGTATTTTCGTAAAAAATAGCTCCCACAAGAATGTTAAAAGTGAATGTTGATCTTGAATAAACAAAGATTCAAATGAGCGTAAATACTGGATTATAGCTGCTATAGCCACTTCATAATTAATTAACAAACTTTTGAATTTCACAAATGACAGATGGCAAAATAACGTCTTCGAAAATGGCCTATTTTTTGGTAAAAATTAGCTCCCACAAGAATGTTAGAAGTGAATGTTGATCTTGAATAAACGAAGATTCAAATGAACGTAAATATTGGATTATAGCTGCTATAGCCACTTCATAATTAATTAACAAACTTTGGTATTTCACAAATGATAGATGGCAAAATAACGTCTTCGAAAATGTATTGTAGTTTCATAAAAAAAACTTGTTCCCAGAAGAATTTTGTATATGAATGTTGATCTAGAATATACAGAGATTAAAATGAGCATAAATACATTCTTGGTCTTCGAAATTTTCGGTCATTTTAGAGAATCTAGGGGGGAGACTTGCGACTCGCGAAAAACGCAGTGGCATCATTAAAGTTTAATAACTTTCTTATTAATTGTCCAAAATTAATGAATTTAGCAGCAATGGAAAGAGGAAGAATCATTCTTTACGATTATGTAATTATATTCTTAAATAAATATTCAAAAAATCGAGTAACAGAGTTTAAGGTTTGTGTCTTCAAATATTGCAATGATTCGCGTTAAAAATGGAATAATAGATAATTAATTTAAATAGCATTATTAATTATCGTGTAATTAAACTATAATAACATTATAAAATCTAAAAAGTGCTGCATCTTTTATAACTTTCAAAATATTTGATTGTTTCTATGGTTTTCATTTTGTAACATTCTAGAGTTAATAGATATCAATAAAATAAACGTTTGCCATGTTCATATCATTTCTCTTGGACCTTTGGTTGTTTTCCAATGTCACTGCAATTAAAAAGTACTTTTACAAATGGTTTACAGTGAAACTGGTGTATTAAAACTGTGAAAATCTGAAAATTACAATTGTTTCAACGATATACGGTTTAACGTGGCGGGAATTTTGAACGAGAACCGCGAAATTTGTTTGGATATTGACAGCATTGGTAATAATATGTCATGGCGATGTCTAAATAACGCAAGGAAATAAGAGAAATACGAAACAGATAAACGCAGATTAAACCGTCTCGTGATTATTGTCACACCTGTTTTGTGCACGTATTGCAGACGATTTTATGGGAGATATTGGAGTGACCGTTTGAAATTCGCATCCGTACAGTCGAAGAGCACCAATTGAACGCAATTTTACGTAAGAAAAGTAAACATAACCTAAAAACCACAATAGATTTAACTTATGTTTATAAACAATAACGCTTGAGTAGAGTGCAGGGCTATTCAGACTGTGATAGGATGAAAATGAAACGATATGATTCGATATACTTGCGTTTGATATGTGAATAACCTTTGTATCTTTTGTTTAAGATTAGTATTTTTTTGGTTTGGTGCGAGGGAAAGATGCCCCGAGGAAGTTCTAAACCACAATTGGAATTGTATACACCTGGAAGTGGACCGCTGAGAAAGTCCTATCAAAGGTCTAATAATGAGTTGGAGAATGAGCCTGTAAAGAAGAACTTAGCTGAGAGTCGTTTGGAGAAGTTCAGGAATCAGGATGATTGCATGAATAGGATAGATCTGGACAACACTACATCAAAAATGTCCGATCTTAGTATGAGAGATGGTAGAAGGACAAGGAAACCTGAGCAGTCGTACTACGAAGCGTCTGCTGTTGCTCGGTCCAGGGGAATGTCTGAGCAGAAATCTCAAAGACAAGTTGATAGCAAAAATGAGAGGAACATGAATGGTAGTGGAGGAGGTAACGAACACATAGGAGGGAATCGTAATAGGAAGATGCCGAATCGAAGACGCAACAATAATAATAATCAAGCTGAATGGCGAGGGAATTCCCCGAATAGAGGATTACGGCAAGGTACTATAGGCAGCCAAATAAGCGTAAACGTTATGTATAATGCTATTTCATTGTTCAGGATCGGAACCGAGAGGTTCTCATCAATCCAATACAGGAGGATGGGACAGGACTAGGGACACCAGAAGCGTCGAGCCGCAAACAATAAATTCGAACCGTAATTTTGGCAACGAAAAGTCACATATGAAACCTCCTAGTGGGCGGCGGCACAGCACCGTGGGCGTGGAACCGGACAAGAGGAATTTACCTCCGCGCTTCCAGAAGAAACTAATGGACGAGAACATGTCTCATTATAAAACGGTGGTGGATGATTCTTGGGATGGATCCAGTATCACGTTTCAGGGTAGCGCGCCCAGAAGTTTTCAGAAGTGCTACAACCACAACTCCAATCAGCACGTCACCATGAACAACATGACGTACAATACGCTGCCGAATAGCCGGCACAAAGGTCGCGGCAGACTCCAGCAGGAATATGACCACTCGCACGGGATATACAGATCGCAAACGCCTGATCGAATATACATAAACAGTCCGAGCAATTCGCGTCCATCGACGCCCACCTTTTCCAACCGCACCAGAAGCAACGAAAGCTTGAACTCGCGATCTCAGACTCCCGTCAATATGCATAGAATCAGCGAGAGGTTCGAGAGGACACCTCAACTGCAGCGGGTCTTCAACGAAAGTCTAGAAGCTCAACTATCGCCGATTTCTCCACCCAGTCCCGTGTCGATTAGGATTAACGTAGACATTAACACGAACACTATTCTCGTACGTTTACATCTTATTGTCTCGCCTGTTTATATTACATATGTTATCTGTACTCTAGGATTGGAGTGAAGAAGTCGAGATGCATGCCAGTATGGAAGCAGAAGCCCTCAGTGATGCTTTGACCAGAAGTTCTTCGGTCACTAGTTTAATGGATAACGGGAATAAATCGCCGAACAGTAAATCCAGAAATAAAAAGAAAAGGAATAGAAGACATCATAGGTATTTTTATTTATTATATGAAAGGATGATTTGATTTATTACTTTACGTTTTCTTGCAGAAGCGGCAGTCGAAACAGAGATAAAAGTGCGGAGGGTTACTGTCGAAAGCAAAATCAAAGCACGGATGCAAATTTCAAGGTACCGGAAGTGAGAAGACCTCGTCAAAATTCCAAGGAGTTACGTTCTCGAAACGGAAGCAGAGAACCTAGTTTTGAGAGAATCAAGAAACCCGGTTCCGTTGAGCATCAGGATGGAGGTCCAAATTGGCGCGAAGAGATGCCTAGGTCGAGAGTCGTCGGCGAAGAAGTACGTAAGGGTGGAATCATACATTTACCACCATCTAGCAGCTTCATCGAAAGCCCCAAGCTCCCGGAGCGGCCTCAACTTCCAGACATGGGACAGAAGCGATCCACGCCTACCAGCGTGCAGCAGCGAAGCCTCTTCGATCCCAACAACCCTAACAGACCAATAATCGTCAATAAACCCAGTTCACGTGTCAGCTGTGTACCCGAGATTGCAGATGTCTCTCCGCAGCAGCAACAGCAGCAGCACACCGACCAGCATGGAAAACCGAACTGGCACAACGAACGGTCGGACGGTTGGAAGATGTGCAAATATCCGATGCTGCTCAAGGACATCAAATTTGCCGACTACGATATGCAGGTGGTCATTAATTCCGGTTCGATAATGCTGATGTGGGAAAACATAAAACCGCTTCGCGACTTCCTCAAAGAAAGCCTGGAATATTTGCTATGCTACGACCTGAAATTTTGCCAAAGCGAGAACGTCGAGAACTATTTCTGGCGTGTGCTCTACCACAACATAATCGAGATCACAAGAAAAAACATGCAGGAGAATCGGGAACAATACAAATCTTTCCTGCTCAATCTCATAGACGAAGGCTGTTCTTATTATGAGAGTTTGTTGGAGAAACTGGAGAAGACAAATAACTTTAAATTATCGAACCACGTCGGTCCGAACAGCCATCAGAAGGCCGCGAAGAACGTGCAGCTCGCTTTAATCGGCGCACAGAAGATACTGATTTTCTTAGGGGATTTGGGTAGGTATAGGGAACAGGTCAACGAAACCTCGAATTACGGAAAGTGCAGACAGTAAGTGTAATCTCATCTCACCATCCGAACATACTTAACATTAATTTAAACTCAGGTTGTACATCAAAGCCAACGATATCAATCCGAAGAATGGAAGGCCTTATAATCAATTAGCCGTCTTGGCGGTATATTCGGTAACTTGTGCAAATCCTTAGACAATATTGGTCACGAATTTTCACGTTTCGCTTTGCAGAGGAAAAAATTGGACGCTGTGTACTTTTACATGAGGAGTCTGATGTCCACGAATCCAGTCCAATCTGCAAGGGAGAGTCTAATCTCGCTGTTCGATGAGAACCGGAAGAAGGTGAGGCCTTCGCATGCGATCAAATACTATATTTTATTCCATATTTATTCATGAAAAAAAAAATGAGAATCGCGATTTAGTTACGCATACTACATTGTGTTTTGAAAAGTTCATTTTATTTTACGGTGGACTATTATGTGTATACTATTGTTTTTTTTTGTTTCTCTCTCTCTCCCCGCCATTAAACGCTGCAGTATCTTCATCAAATATACGTACGTATATATGATTTATCATCTACATCGCACAGGTCACTATACAGTAAGAGTTCATATGTAATATTATTGTGCGCGGAAAAGAGGATTTTCTCTCTTTCAAAGTTCCATATTGCCATAGGATCTCGTATTATTTGATTATGCACTTGTATAGCTAACTGTTCCAACTACTTTAGTAATCTTTTGTTTTCACCATATATATATATATTTGTTTTATTATCTTTCATCTTAACACAATTGGTTTGTTAATTTTACTCGTTGTTGCATTCTCGTCTTACGTGCGCGGATTCAAGAAACGCTGATCACCATCAAAAGTCATCAGATTTGTTGGATCCGTGTTCATTAGATTAACTTATTATTATTATGCTTGTGTGATTTGTATCTCTCTGGTAGTTCAATTTTCTAAAAAAAAAAAATAATCAGCTACTTAAACGTCCCCGCTCTATTTGTAATAATGATGATAATAATAATAATTCACGTAGTTTCATATTTCTTCTAACCGAAACCACATCGAATCTAATCACTCTATGAAAGCTGTCCATCCAATTTGCAATTCGATACGTCCCATAATGATCTCTCGATGCTGGAGACGAATTCATCCGGTCTCTGATATTCTCTTAGGCTCGTTTTTCTTCAATCCTCCAATCATCATCTCTAGCAACATTTCACACTGAACAGAAAGAACACCGTCCGATGTTACGCAACGCACCCGATGATGAGCCGTACGTTGCGTAACTCAAAGCGGATCTCTATCTCGGTTTGCTTTCTTTCATTATCATTAATTTGATCGTGGTCTAATTAAGCTTCTATAATTAGGTGAAATTAGCGGAAATTAACGTTATTGTCAAAGAAGAGCCCGAACCGAAAACTGTTCTTTAATAACAGAACGCTTGCACTTTCACGAATTTAAATGGGCAATAAAAGATGAAACTGAATTTGGAGCAGTTCCATTACGATCGAGATACCGAGAAACTACACATATTATAATTTAGATGGAATTTTCTTTCGAAATCCCGGAAACTGTGAACTCAAATGTGATTCCTTTTTCTAATAGGCACTCATAATGACAAGATATACTAGCTTGATATTGAGAGATTACCAGATCATAATCGTTCGCAAAGAAATGAAGAATGCAAGTGAAACAATATATTTTCAGTTGCTTCATTCAATATCACTATTAAAATTACTTATTAATAATTCCTTAGCAAATGGTCATAAAGAGTAGTCGAAAACGATTTCATACTACTTATTATGTTCATTTATTCTTGCATATGTTGCTTACATACAATGCACGCAGGTATTTTATAAATTTAAAATATTTCTCTCTCTCTCTCTATATATATTTAGTGCAAAATTCTAAATAGTGATTGCTTAATTAATATTTAGAATAATGTTGATAGCGTCCGCTTGTTGTTCTGCTCCATTCTTTAAGAGTTTCCCAATTGTTGATACCTCGTACTTAGCCGAGTAGTCTCAAACAGATTAGATACGTTGGTTCTGGTTTGGTTTCGTGAATGCACATTGTTTTCTTTTTGTTTTTGAACACTTAGTACGAGCACGGTGAGCGCAAGAGGCGCGAGGAACGTCAGGAAAGGGCGAGACAACACATGAAGGAGAAGGAATCGCAGGAGCCGGCGGGTCGAGCCGGATCCTTGCGTAAGGAAACCTGGATTCGACCGGACGGTGGTCGCAGGGTTTACAGGACAACTTCCACTTTGCACGACAGCAAATCCATCGACTCGGAAGAGGAAGATCTAGCCTCGCTCTCAAGCGTCGAGGTAATTATATAAATACACAGAACATTGTCAATTTACCAGTGTACTAATTGCTATACTTTTAACAATTTAAGGTGAACAAACGTTTCGTCACGAGTTACCTTCACGTCCAAGGAAAATTAATTACAAAAGTTGGGTGAGTTACATTTAATTATGCCCAGAAAGTACATTTCTTATTCTCATCCCGAAATTCGCGCAGTTAAAATGTATATAATTTGTAGAATATTGAAACTACAGTAAAACTCTTAATAGATTAATTTTTTTTTTGTTTAAATAATACACTGAGCAATCCTTAGGCATCTCGTGATTGTTTCAGTCTTTATAATTGACACGACAACAACAACAACAAAAAAAAAAGCGTACATCGTTCGAAAGAAATAGCTGTATATTTGGAATTGGAAGTAAGAACTGGTTTCCCACTGCAGTAGTTAGCGATTACGATTTCCGAGTGATTACTTAACCTTTAAATGGTCCAAAAGTATAGTAATAAAACTGAATATGATCTTGTTTTTGGAATTTAAAAGCCTCGTCGCTTCCAGAACACATGTTTTTAAGGTACCACTTTGCGGCTGGAATGCATTAACTTTGGAAACGTGAATTGCGGCGAGACGGTTCCCAATGAATGAAAATTCAAATTTATTTCATTTGTAATATTACGAATCCGAATAATATGAAGGATCGCTTCATGGATTGGCATCGCAATAAATTGCGGTGACATTTAAAGCTATCTGAACTAAATCGAAAGCAAAAGACATCGATGGTTCTCTCCATATATATATATATTCATGTGTAGCATTGGTCTGTCTCTTTTAGACGACGCTTAAAAGGAACTTAACATCATCTTACCATTGAAATTTGTTTTTAAAAACAATGTAATTGTAATTCCAATTCATTTTATTTGAAAGCATCATGTATAATGTATAGTTTACGTTTGTTTTGTCAGGCGGAAGAAATATTGATTGATGTTGTTGATCCTCTTTTTTTTTAATTTCATAATATTGATTGCATTCGTTTGATCTATTTCACACTTTCTAAACTATAAAACGTAATAGGGGGAATCTGAACAAAAAAAAACAACTAACTGGAGTGTTAACGGCAATTTGAAAAGATTTATCGCTTTCGTATATTTCAAGTACATGGACATTTATTGGATTTCGTTAATTCTACTCGATTAACTACATAATGTGTATCTCCAGCATTGAAATATTAACAAAATATAATTATAAAATAACGTGTTTATGATAATGTAATGATGGAGAGATAGTTACGATCTGTAAGTGTAGTTTGCGGATTGTAAATATCGAAGTTTGCCGTGGTTGTTGTCTATGTATAGACTATAAAGCAAAGTGGAATAGAATGGACACGATCATCGCAAAATTATTCAGTTTTGTTAAAGACACATTGACCTATCGTGATTTCTGTTGTAAGTAGGTGGATGGATGGATAAAAATGCGATTCCAGGCCTTTATCTCTCTTTCGTTCGTTCGTACGTATATACAAAAGAGAACAATAACGTATGAAAACTTGGAAATGGTCTGTGACTCTTTGAACCTCTCGCTGTTCGTGGACGGCCGCGACCAGTTGTCCGTATAAAATATAAGTGGCATTTATTTTCCATTCCGGTTCCGTATACATACGACCATTATTTCATTTTAAAATTATATCATCCGCCGCGCGGCGAAACTGTACATGAATTTTGAATTGCGCCGACGACGAGAGGACGCCGCCAAAGCGCTAAATCCATCTTGCCGTACAATCTCCTGACAGTTTACATAGAAAATATATTTAAACTGAGTCGCCTTTTTCTCTTCTGCTGGCCCTCTTCTTCTCCTCCTCTTCCTCCTTCACCATCCAACCGACTCCTCCATCTCGCATTATACGCGCCGCACATAAAAGAACCATTTTCATTGTTTTCTTATAACCATTAATTTATTTCACCCAACTGACAATATACTCAGAGAGATAGAGAATTTGGATGCTTCAAAAGGCAAAGGTTTTGTTTTTATTCTTTCGGATGCTTCTTTTGATGATACTGCTGCTCTTTGCCTCGGTTCTTTTATGCTCAGGGGCCCGCGTGCGCACATGTGAAGAGCGGTGCATGCACCTTGCAACCACAAAAGATGATTATTACTTGGACGAAGGCCGGATTGTTTAGATCCAACTCTTAAGTGCTTCATTATTGATGCTAGATTATCAATTATATCTTGCAGAACAATCACTTCAGTTGTTAATGCATCTTAATACATGACTTAATTGGATAGGGATACAATTTAGGTTTTGATATACATAGATCTTTAGTTTGCGTATGCACAAACCATTGATATTTACAAACGCATTTAAATTCGTTTGCGTTACGCGCAAAATTCCACGAACGTACATCCTGTCTCCGGTCGGAGGAATTTTTCGCCGATTGTGATTGCGTCCGATTGTTGTTGTTGCAGGATGGAAACGTTCCACGAGACCGCCATGCAGATGCTGAAGGAGTTCAGGGCTCTTCTGCAGCACTCGCCGTTACCTCTACCATCAACCCGATTCCTCCAGCTGATGGCCCTAAACATGTTCGCCATCGAAAGCACCCAGCTCAAAGGTAAGTGCATCATTCTTTATTTCCTCTCCATCTCCTTTCTTCCTCCTTTTATTTTTCTTATTCTTTTTACGAGCATTTGCTGCGGATGGATTGGCATTGGCGGCTGTGCAGATTACTATTTTCAGGTGAAATTCACACGGCTCGGATGCCGATTTAGCATAATTGCTGCACACGAGTGCAATGCAGTTGGTAATTTTTCTTCGGTTGCCACGGTGCGTGGATAGGCCGGTAGAGCCAAGGCAAGTACAAGAGTACTCGAGAGTCTCGTCGAGCGCACGAGGAAGAAGGAGATGCCCTCTCCTCTGTAGGGACAAATACAAATTGCCGGGAATAAATTAGGTGCAATTATTGTGTGCGCGTCCGAGGAAATGCCGCGCCGTACATTAATGATGCCACAAAATTCACTTCGATTCTCGGGTCTGCTGTTGTTCGCCATTTGCCATTATTTGGATTTTAGCGATAGATGCGCTCGATGGTGCGCTGGAGAGGAAGAGGAGTGCCGTTAGGTCGAGAGCAGAACAGGCAGGCAGGCAGGCACACGGAATTTTAGCCACGAGCGCCAGTCTTTTGCATCAATTTTGCGCCGCGCAAAGGGGCTTCGCATTGGAATTCCTCATCGGCTCGTTACCTTTTTTTCTTTGCTGATATTGCTTTTGTTCTTGTTCTAGTGCTCCATTCGATACCGAAACTGGCCCTGCGGCCACCATCTCTCTCTCTTTCTCTCTCTCTTTATCCATCCATACCATAAGTAAACTAGGCAATATTCTAATAAGCCACGACTCGTTGGCGTTTTGTCTTTGGCTAAAAGTCTATCTAGATACATGGCAGAAACGCGAGAAGTTAGTGCACCTACCGAGGTTCGTTTACCATTGATACGAGATCGTTAAAATAGATCTGTGGTAGGAAGTTCAACCATCCTTGCACTTCCTGGACACTTATGCAATGCACAGGGTGTTTATAATATACATGTTATATGTGTCTAGGAATAATCTTTCGAAGTCTCGATCGCTTCTATATTTATACGCAAAGCGCCCTTTAATTATGGATTTGTGCGTGTACGCATAATGGGCATGGACATAAAACTACTTTGAAAGACGGAGTAGATTCCTGCAGCTCTTTTCTGGTACTTCTTCCACTCGCACTTTAGAATCTCTTTGAGTTTCGTAGTTGCACATAGTCAGCACGCGTGAAATATTCGAGGTCATCGTACCAAAATTCAATTACTCGCTCGGATATTACGATCGAGCACACTACTTACAGGTTATTATTTTTGATTGCTCGAAGGAGAGAAGGCATCATTCATTGCGCGTGTTATTCGAGAAACGTTTGTGCCTTTGATTTATTGCTCTTTGATTATACGTACCATCCGTGTATGTACCAGTGTTTTCAGGATTCCACCGAACGAAAAGGATGGATTTTTTTGCGAAGGCAGGACGAATCCTTCTCTTTCCGCACTCTGTTGCATAATGCTGCATTGCTCTGGCCTCTCCTTGTGCATTGCGCCTCTTTTACGCGAAAACGAAAACCAGGACGACCGTTGTTGCTAGGTCGCACGGACCGAGATCTTTTGTTTGCGGCTCTTTACCTATTTACATATACATACATACCTACATCCCATCAAATTGTAATCATTAACTCTAATTCCCTCTCTAATTGTTTATCGAAGATTCAGAAGCAATTAGCGCAACAGAAGCAAACTGTAATTAATCTTGACCACTCGGTAATTAATCGCTGCTATTTTTGGGATGCTTCCATCTATGATTTCGACCTGCTGCTGTAAAGAAAAAAAAAACTATATTAATTACGTTTTTAATTAACGCAGTCGCTTATACTTAACAGTGTTTTTAATTAACCACGTATGTTTTATGGTGTTATGTGTGCACTTCCCATCCCGCGCCTCCACACACACAATCTTGATTCCTTTGATAAATTGGCGTTATATTGTTTTGTATTCTCGCTGTCAGATGCGCGCACTCGTTCCTAGAAAGACTCATCTGAAAGCATACAGAACTACAAATTAAGTTGCCTTAAATATACTTGCAATATCTTCAACTGCGGTGAAATTAAGTACGAGGTACAGATGTAAGTATAAATTATGTAGCATGCATGGCGGTGTGAAGGGTTTAGTACTAATGAAGTGTGGAATATGGTCTTCGGTTTTACTGGCATCGAGGATATATACCTGCACAGCAGACCTTCGACCGAAGTGAGTCAAGGTGGTCGTAAACATTTGAAGAACAATTGCACGGTAACGATTTTTTTTTGTTGTTTTTGTTTTCGAAGAATATAAAGACAACAAGCCCGAAAGAGACAAAAATACCATTGAGTCTTTGATTCTCATTATCCGCGGTAATTGATTCGCGGCGTGAAATACTACGAGCGTTTTGCCCGACTTCTGATGCTGCTGCTGCTGCTCCTCCAAGAGGCTCGAATCACCGAGGATCTCTTCTCCTCTCTCATGGGGGCACAGACTGATTTTACGATGTCCGAGCGAAACGTTAATTATCAGTCGACCTCTTTGCATGCTTTTTATTTCGTTTTCTTTTCCGTTTTTTGTGGAAATATGGAAAGGGCTGCGCGAAGGAGATGAGTCGCATAATAAAATAAAATTAAAGCGGAATTATCTCATTATGTGGCCGATCGTAAAATTCGTTATTATCGCGAACGCTCTCTCTCATTCCTGGCCACTACGAATTACGCCTTTACACCGTTCATTACGCAATTATTTTCGTTGTTTCGCCGGCGAATTTGTCTCAATAAATCCGGCTTTATTACCATTATCAATGCGTTGCTCTCGTGCATCTCTTTCATTTTTTTTTTATATTCTTGGGGGTCTTTTCGTTGCCTTCTTTTCTTTTGTGCTGTTTTTTTTTAAAGCGAGTCTAAGGCGAAGGCGAAACGGCCTGAAAAATGTGCTCTTTCTCTCTTTGGTCGGGATGAAATTTATTATGCATTCATTATGCAGCGGCCCCCGAGGATTTAAAGACGAAAATAATAGCAGACCTACTACCCCTTTGCATCGTCTACTCCTACATTTTCTTTTTATTTTTTTGGTTCTTAAGCCTTTCCTTCGACTTCCTCTCACCTATTATTCCATGGAAATGTGGCGGATAATCTCGTTTTAATTATAATTAATTACAACACGGATTTCTGGAGCGTTAAATCCACTATAATGGTTCAGTTTAAAATTGAATTACTGAATATAAATACACGTTCATCAAAAGATATTAGCGCCCTATTTACCACCCTTTTAGTGAGACGAGAACACTACAAATTGAACATAACTTTCGATGCAACAGACATGTAACGTTTCTGCTTTCGTTTTCATATCGAAGGCCATGAAGAGATTTTCACAATCTTTTTATTTGCGTTGCCGAAAGCATACATTTTTCATGAGCCTGCAAGAATCAATTATAATTTATGGTCTGCTTACTTATTTATTTATTTATTTTTCGACTCTGGTCGCATCCACCACATTTTATTTCGTTTGAATTGCATTATATATATTATCGTGAGCCTCGTTTCTTCTCCACCTGATTTCGCAACCTGGGTGGCTCTCGCCATCTAAAAAGCCATCCCGAACAAGAATTATTACATTTCCACTGCGTGCCACATACATAATCCCTGATCCTCTCCTTCACCAACTCAACTCTATTTGCTTCTACGAAAAAAGCAAGCAAATGTAGCAAATTACTTTGTTGATAGGATAAACCGTACTGTAAGCTTCGCTGAAACAAGTTATGTTTGCAAACGAAATTGAAAGACAAATAATCACTGCGTGTACAATTACATAATTTTATTAAGGTTGTTGTTTTTTTTTCTTCTCTCTTAGTCAAAATGGAACGGTACATTCCGTTCGCAATTGAGTTGAACACTTTTAAAACAACGACTCGTGTAAAATAATTTGAAGTATCCTCGCCTGAAATAAATCTGTTCACATATTCCGCATTTTTTTTTATGTGCATAACTGTATTAGCGTTTAGACAGGAAATTGTTATCCGCTCGTTCTTCTCTTTTTGTACGAAGAAGTAATTAATGATGCTGCTTCTTCTTCTGCTTATTTTTCTTTAGCTGATCTTGTAGCTAGCAGCATATACACTACACTCTTTTTCTCTATTCGTTTTTTATTCGTTCGTTTGGTTTGTTGTATGTCCATGACAATGGCCTTAGAACGGATCGAAGAGAGAGAGATTGGAATCCGAATAAATTCCACCTTTGTTAATTCCTAATTACAATATTTCGGTTTGCGCTGGGAGGAGGTTCGCATTTTTTGGGGTACTGCTCCTCCTTCTTTGATTTATCGATCGCAAATAAGCGGGTTTCGGTTCGCACGCGCTTCTCCAGCGCAACACAACTCCAGGCAACAAGGCGAAAATCCAAAGCGATTTTTCGGCGTACGATTATTATTTTTGTTGCTCTTCTCCGTGTCTGTGAGCAGGAGGAGGTGATGGTGTGGTATTCGGTTCTGAACTCTCGAGGTTCACTGAACCTTAGAGCATTGCATAAAATCATTTTTTTTCTTTTGGTGTTTCTTTGGGGGTTGTTCTGCGAAGTTTCGACGATCGAAGAAACACTCCTTCTTCTTCGTCGTCGTCGACGATTTGGTCGGATGGTGTGTGAGTGTGTGAACTTCGGCACAAGAGCAGAGGAAGGATGAGGAGAAGGTTCGCTGAACCTTCTCCTCATCCTTTCCTCGAGAAACGCGCTCGGAAAATGCGCGTTCCTCTTTTCCTCCGTGACCGTCGACTTCTTCTCCTCCTTCTTCGACGTCTCGCGTTCAGCTTATGCTAATTTAATTGATCCGGGCTCGGACCTAATTAACACCTGCTAATAATATTCACGCAGGATATTGAAAGCTGCATGCGAAGCTGCGGACGGACGAAAAGGATCACCTCAGAAGAAACGAATATACAATGTTGAGTCTCATGTAATAACGCATCTACTGCGATATTTGGTGCAGTAAATGCTGCAATGATCTCTGCTATTATTAAGCGAAGAAAGAAAGTCTTCAAATGGTATCTGTACAAAATGAGAGGAGTAATAGAAGCGAAATGGAAATTAACACTTGCACATGCATGGAGGATGTTATTAAAAACGTGTTAGAAGAAGAAAAAAAAGGAAAAGTAAGACCGTATGTGTATATATATATTTATAAAGGAGTAGATGGAAGAAGTGTTGGGTTTTGTGGTGTGGCTAATGGCCATATATGTTAGATGTAATAAACTGTGAATCTAACTGGACAATTTGCTCTCTTCTTCAGAAGAGTCCGAGCGCGTGTTTGCCCAACGAATTCCTCCGACAGTTTTTTTCCCTCCTGCGTTTCGTTCTCTCCTTCACGTGCTCATACATACACACACACACACTCAGCTCATTTCCTTTTACTTTTTTTTTTCTGTATCCTCTTCTTCTCTTTAACAAGTACCTAACAAAAGTCCTAAACGGATGCCGAAAAAACGAGCAAAACGAGAGGGAAGAAAGTCTAATATTTATTAGTTATTTTTCTCGCTTCTCTCACTATGTATACGCACACACTGACATACCATAATGATGCTCCTCTCGGTGTGTGTGCATGTGCATGTGTGTAGATTTTGCTTCTTCTGCAAGCCATGTTATTATTCTGCCTCCTTCCCATGTTTAAACACGGTGTGCACAGTACATTGACTTCTATTTACAGACTGTATTAAAGGAATGCATAAATGTTAATTTATCTGTATTTTAACCTGTCGTTAAAGTTATATGGGTTCATAGATCATTAAAATTACTAGGAATACACTTAATTCCATTTCGTTTTTAGCCATCATCTCTCGCTCGCTCTATCTCCGTCTCTCTCTCTTCACCACGCGTCTTCCATCGTCTTTCTTTTACTTACTTACCATCGCAGAATTTGCGCGCTGCAAACGAAACCGAGAAGCGCAAGACTACCGAGGAAGGAAGACATACACACGCACACGCATACGCTCATAACAAACCGCAACAAATATGTATCTTTGCTTCTGACCGAATTCTGTTAATTATGCATATTCCAATTATTGAAAGCAAATAAATGATTTTCTTGTTCGACTAATTACGGTTTTGTGTAGTTCAAGGTTGGCGATCACTGGTTTCGTACTATATATATATAGACAGACTAGACTGGAAAGAAGTTGTACTTCAAATAAATAATATTGGACAGCAGCAGGATAACTGTACGAGGCGAGATCGCCGGATAAATCACGCCAGTACGGGTCTGCCCTTACAAGATCGTCTCACCGAAATTGGCGTTACTGCCGGTCGTGCTCTTCTGTACAGTTTGGAATTTCATTGCGAAAGAGACGGGATTTCATTTCCCTTTGTTTTTCTTTTTAAATTTTGTTGTTTCTTTTTTCTGCTTCCGAAGGATGAAACGTATTTTCCTTTTACTTTTAAATTTACTGCTATTGCCCGGACGATTTCTGTTAGGCGCGTTATGCAATCGATCTTCTAATCATTAATTAAAGCTTAGCATGGATTCGAATCATCATTACCAGACATCTTTATTGGATGTACGCGAGTTCTTTATGATTTGTCATCATTGTTGTTCATTGTGAACCTGCGAAGCCTGTGAGAGGTGATACAAAAGGTTGTATTCTTTAATTCTTCGATAATCACGTGTGTGCGAACCGAGGACGTCGATGTTTGGCGTGCGTTCGAAACGATTTCAGTTGAGAAGAAGAGCCAACAGCGAGGAGTTGCAGAAAACAACGAATACGAAGAACATGAAGATGCAGCAGCAGAAGCAACCACCGCAGAGAGGAGGAGAAGATGATGAAGAGAAGAGAAGAGACCCCCAAGATAATGAACTCAATTATTTTTTACGCGCCGCACGAAGCATTCGAGAAGAAATTAAATGGAATGCTTCATCTTCTCTCCACCACCATCATCAACACCACTTGTAAAAACGTCTTCTGTTCTTCTTTATTTATTTATTTTTGTTCTTAAATTTATTTATCATCGTCTTCCCTTTCTCTTTGTTTCTTTTCATTGTTCTTAAACCTCTTCGCCATCCTCCACTTAATTTTTATTCGCGCAAGGTCGCGCAATAAGTGACAGCCCCATCATTATTTCGAAAACGGACAAATCACTGGGATTACGCACAATCAGCCTCCATTTGCGCGCATTTAAATTTATTATTTGCACTTTGCTTTACTACTATTATTCATAGAAATTTCCACCGAGTTTTCTGCAATCTTCTCTTATCTTGCTCGTTTTTGCCTAAGGGTTATTCTTATTTCGCTGCAAGCGCACGTCTCTCTCTCTGCGAGATGGAAAAAATATCGCGAGATATTTAATTGTTGGGTTTCAACTCTCTGAACGTCTCACTTTGCATGGGCACCGCCTTCGCACCAGAATACAGTAATTTCAGACTTCACAACTTCATTAAAGCGCAGAATACATTTATTAACACTGACATTGCAATCCAGATGAACAATGAGATCAATTTCAATATACGAAGCTACTGATGCCTTTGAGAACATTCGTGGGTCTCTGTGGAACGATTTTGCTGTAGGTATCTTTTATGAAATTAAAACTACGACTTTAGAGATATATTTGATATAGGATTTCTAAATGTAATTATTCAAAATGTAATGATTATTATAAGTTGTTTTGAGAAAAAAAAAGGCACATGTTTAGCGAATTAATGGCAATATTTGTAGGTGACCCAAGCAGAGAAGCCGTTTTTCTTCATTTTGCTGGTCTCCTTGTATACGTGCATGGCACACTTTATGTCGTCCGTTATATCGTCGTTTCGCAATGCGTTGCAATTGACGCCGCATCCTTTACCTGCAAATCATCGTATTAAATGCAAAAATTCTCGTCTCCGTCTTCGATTCCCACTGCACACTTACCAGGGGGATAGCACCAATATAATTCACTTATCTGCAAGATTCCGTGATCGCCGGACTGCCTGTTCCAAGCAGCAGTATCGAAATGGGACTCGTGCTCGGCGATGCACGTCCAGGTGGGTATCATCCATTCGGGAACGTTGTTCCTTCTGAGCTCTTTCTGGAATTGAGAGGGTGAGAGAATTCTGCCATCGCAGACCAACGCCGTTGCCAAAGCCAAACTCAAGATGATCGCGTTCATGTTGATACGTTTTCTTACTGCGTTCGCTATTGGGATTAAGTGCGATTTATATACAATTTCATTATCAAACGTAATTAGTCATTAAGATAATATAAAATGCATTAATCTTAGGAAACCACAGTCATAGCTGTTTCTATATTTATTCATTTCCGTATAAATTATTACATATTTGATTTAGTCTCAATATTAACATTTGTTTTGTCTTTTGATGTTAATTTACTGGGAGAGCATCATCTCTCATGTCCCATATGCCAGATGCCACCTATCCTATGCATAGTTATGAAACATATTTTTTTTTCTATAGCAGAGCGCGTTGTTCCATTCGCTTCGAGGAAACCGTCGAAAGGACCATTTTCTTCCTTCCTTCAGCAAGGTGAATGCGTTTATGTGGGTATGTGTGTAAGATGGTAAAGAATTCAGCGGAGCAGAGTGTGTGTGTATACGAGAGAGTCTATTTACAGCCATCGGCCTAACGTGAACAAGTTTTTGTTCTTCGGAAAGTATAATTTTAGATCTTGCATATATATCCGACCGGTTTATGCTAATGCCCATGCGAGTATTTCATTTGCGACGTCACGTCGCGTACGATATCTGCCCATTTTGCAATTGCGCCAATAGAAACAGGAATACGAACAACAAAAAAACGTAAGGGGTGAAAGAATGCTTCGGTAAATTTTATTCTCATTCTCCTCTTCTCGGAGTCTCTAGTCAAAGTTGTCCTCGATCTCTATTGATGCGTGCCACCATTTCGGTATCGTCAAGAATCGTCAAATTATACCGATTCCCTCCGCACATATGCATATGCAAATCGTGTAAATCGCTGCTGTGTCTATCATAAAAAGTTAATTACATGTACGTCCTTTGCAAATTAACAAGTTATTTCTGCAAAGCAATAAAGTTTCGACAAATGTAAATCTGTAAAGGAAAATAGAAACTGATCAACGCAAGTTATATATGTAATGGCTATGGATTTTCTTTAGCTACTGATCAGTTGATTACATACATACTCAGCAAATTTGATTCGATATTGAAACTTTCTTCTATTTTATCCTAATTTTGTATGTGCGTGGAATATTTTAATTCCTTTGGAAAGTGAACAACTTTTCGTGGAAATCCTGCGTGTATGCATCGGATTTAGATTTCCCTTCTTAAGTTTTTTTTTTTTGAAATTTTTCCAATCGCATTCCGATCCGTGCGATAAATATTTAAATTTCGTACATGGGAAAAAAGATTTCGTGCAATTTTCCTCGCATTTTCGCGGTTCGATGGGTTCGTGGAACAACAATTCGTGTGGGAAGAGAATTCCTCTTTCCATTTGCCTCCCTCTTCTCTTTTTCCCTTCTTAACTCATCATCATCTGCATCACTTTTGCGAAATTCCATGTCCCAGTTGGTTGCATTATTTGCACAGCTCACATCATCATCATAACATGTTCAGTTGGTTTCGTTCTTTTGCATTCAATGAGCGAAATATTGATAAGCATCAATTAATTCTCGATGAGCATTAATTAGCGCGTTTTCTTCTGGAATTCATCAATTAAGTTCTGCTTTTCGTTGGGTCTTACCATTTCAAAGAAGACTCATTTTTCTCGGTAGAGCGCGATCCGAGCGGCGGGCGTGCAATTCATCCATCCTCTCCGAAAATTAGCGGGCAATTAGCGCGGTGTGGATTACGTAATTAACGTAGGCACTCTAATTAGATGAATTTTCCGTGCGTGGCGTGCGTCCATAATCTCACTCTTTCTTTCTTCCACGGCTGTTTGCGTCTCCAGAACGAAAGTAAAAAAAAAACAGAAGTAAAAACCTATAGATTTTTGTTGTATCTTTGGGAATCGTGTAATCACGTAATGCACCTGACTCTTGTTCTTATTATTTACATATTAATTCTTAATTGAATGCTTTAACACTTGTCTCCTTTTCTTCTCGTTTTTCTCAAATCATCTCGCTCGCCAATTCCCGTTTTGATTTTTTGTTTTGTTTCGGTGCCAAGGACTACCACGTTTCAATAAGTTTACTTCGCCCACTCGTTCGGGATTAAGATAACTGCGTGGAGATTCCGTAACAGCGAACGAAGGAGAGGAAGAAAGAATGAAATAAAACTGAACCAAAGCACCTGTCCTCCTTCATCGAGGAAATCGACCGAACTAAAGAAAAAAACAAACAAACACAAACATGAAATAACTGTGTCAAAGTTTTCTGGTTTCTTGTGTTTACAAGCCTCGGGGGTCTTCTGATTCTGTTAATCATGCTGCCGTATAATTTTGTCATTGATTGATCCAATTATGTATCCTTTCGTATTCAATGAATGCGTGATTTTTTTCCTCTTTCTCTCTCTCAATATTTTCGTGAATAAGCTTTTACGTTAATCTTATCTTAATTATATTAAAAAGGACTTAACGTATAATTATAATCACATTAAGATGATTGTGTATGTAACCAAATTATGTGAGTTTTTTTTTTGCATCTTGTATAATCAACTAATAGAGAAATATTCAAATTTCATAATAAGTTTCTCGAATTTTTGATATATTTTGTGGTCTTCTATTGTACAATGTATATAATGAGTAATGTAAATTAATCAATTTCTTAATGTATGTCTTCTTTGAAATCATTCAATCAGTGAACTGGACGCTGGTAATTCCTGTGGCCTTTGCTCCCATTATTAATTGAATCGTATCGATTGATTTATTACTGGGGAATCCACAAGTCTCAACTTTCCAAGAATCTCGCCACTTCTAACAGTCGCTCCAAATATAAACGCTGTTATTATTATTATTTTTTTTTTATTTCGTAATAGAAAAAATAATAATCGAGTTCGTAAATGGCGTTAAATTGCTATTTAAGAGGAACCAATTTTTGGCGATATTAAATTTAATTAGAACTGTACATTTGCAAAGCCACAGCATACGTTTATGGTATATTGGGGAAGGTAGAATTAAAGCTTTTTTTAATGCTATTTTCAATTATGCAATTAACTGCTGAAGGATAATGGATAGAATTTTGCACCGGATTTTCGAGTGCGATGAACCTGGCGAAAATTGTTAAATTGTAAATATTTCTTCTTTAGCAAATTGCAAATTGCTTTCCAATTATCTCTTCTGCAGGTTTTTTTCTCTCTCTTCATTTCGTCGTATATGGATAGGACAAGAAAAAAAGAGCTACGTAACTGAATATTATTACGGTAATTCAATTTTGATATTAAATTTGACATTTAACACTTTTGCTGTTCGTATCGTCCAGAAATGTACGTGTCCAAGGATGGAATTCTGGACACAGTGGACAATATTGTCGTTGCGGAGTCTCAGTTGTAGGAATTAAGTAATTCAATTGGTTTCCAAGATAATGTAGATACTTTTAAAAGATTGACTAAGACTATGCTCATCTTAGGTTTTTATGAGACTATGCTCGTCATGTTAGCGTTTTACTGAGACTAATTCTAAATACTTATTCTAGTTACAAAGTTAATTCTGTAATGATCATTATGTGTTTATAATAAGGACTTGAATTCGGAGTAAAGGTACAGGAGTATCGATGGGAATGTTCACGCTGGTAGAGATTCCTTCATGCTGATGTATATGTTTATATAATAATGCGACTAAGAGACGCCGTGGAAGTCTCCAGTTCGTTAATACACTATATTAACAATAACAATTATAATAATAATGGTTGGACACAACAGTTTCATTGCTATAATTAGCTCTTTTTAATTGTTATTTTTAGTTTGTTTTCCTATTGGATTCGCTGTAATATCATTCATTCAATCATTACGAATCTTGCAATTTGATAACGTATGCATAATTATTTACATCGGCGCGAGTGAAAATGGTTTAGAACTTTTGCTTTTATTCTCTAGCGAATGCACATCTTTTCCATATTTGATAATAAGAGACGTCCGTGCATGCGGACACACACACACACGAAATTATGTAATCGACTTACGGTACATCTCTATTTCGTGGCAATTGAAACGAAATTTTATAAGGAAATAAAAAAAATGAAATAATAATAAGAAGCGCGGGGGAATGAATGGTTTGCATGTGAAAAGAAGAGAGGAAAAGAATGGCGGAGGAACGCGTAAATGCTAGATGGAGGTAAAATGATAAACAAAAATTCCTGTTTGTGTTTGTGCAGCGAGCATAGAGAGAGAGCCAATTCCGTATACACAAACACACACCTTTGCCTCTCTTCCTGTTGTTCTTGAGGTTGTTGCTTTTTTCTCTCTTCTCTTCTCTTCTCTTCATCTTCATCTCAGCCATTCCGTTCGATTCTGAGCGATTGCGTAACGAGCGGTCTCCCATTAATGGATAATTAGATACGCAGCTCGTAACTGTTTGTACTGTGTACGACGAAAACCGCGTTTCGTGTTGGAGGAGAGTGGAAATTCGGAATACCAATAGGTTTGGACTTCTTTCGTTTCGTTTTTGGAAATAGTAAAAACGCTATTATATTTCTTCGTGTACCGTGATCATTATTACGTCTTTCTTCCAAAAAAACAATGAAGAGAGTCTCCTTGGGAAGGTCGTTTCTTGGAGGTGAACGAACATCCATCCAACCCGCCCGGCCAATTATCGAAACGAATGCCATTTACTCGTCTCTTTTTTTTTTCTTCATTTCATTTCGGTTAATCACTTGCGTTTGATCCGCTTGATGATACCCAGCTACAAACAACAGCAGCAACCAGAAATTAAGAGAGAGAAGGAGATGAATTGGTAATGAGAAGAAGTAGTCGGGGAGGAAGAAAAACGTTTCCGCGAAACTATCAATTTTGGTGACTGGCCAAAAAATTTCGTACCGTTAATTAATTTAAACGCAAGGCATTCCGCGCAATAATTATCCGTTGCGTTGAGGAAATCCTCACGATATAGACCACAAATTATATATTTTTTTGTATTATCTTAATATATTAAATTGTCGGTGGTTTAACAAACAGCTAATAATTATATATAGAAATGTACGTTTTATACTTGTATTATTTTATATTTCATCAAATCATTGCAAATGAAATTCTACTAATTTCCAAGTAATTCCGTATCATTGATTGGCATTTTGTTACGTAAATTTCGTATTTACATATAAAGACTAGTAAATCATCTTTGTTTCGACTAAGATGATGTAATTAATTAATTTATACAAATTGAAATGTGTGTGTGAATTGTATGTAACGTGAGAATGTGTGTCTTTTTCTTTATCAATTTATTCCAGGTGGTCCAAAACGTGCACCCCGGCGTGTTTCTAATTGAACAAAAGCGTTTCTGAAATGTCTGGTATAATCCATATGGGTTTCTCCATCTGACAAAGGTGCTGTTTGGACCACCTGTTAGGAATAATCGTTTGTTCAATTCGTATTATAAAGTTAAGTTTTAATTTTTTTTATTAATCAACATTATGGGAAAACTTTATTAATTATTTAATCATTATCAAAAAAAAGTAGTTTGTTTCTTCATTGCTAGATGTTTGCACTAAATGTTTGAGTAATTGAAATATTGATATATTTATAAGTAAACTTATTCTTTGGAAATTTTCTGTTGTTGAGTAATAAATTTGTAATTTGGTCGAGGTGAATGATCTTCCGATATTTTATGATGGGGTATTTCGGTTGTGTTCTGCGAAAAAAAATAATGTTGGGCTTTTCAGAGATGAGTGTGAATTCTCGAAAGGACTTCTGCAAATTGTCCCTGCAGAGTGTCGTGTTTTTTTTTTATTGCTGGATATTCCCTGATTATCGTTGACTCACACCGGAATGCAGGTCGCCGTTTCGTTGCTCTTTTTCTCTTCATGCCGTATTGATTTTCATTTGGGATGGACTTCTTCGAATCTCGTCCTCTGCTGGAATTGTATTTCTGCACGTCGTTCTGTTCAGTTCGATTCGGTTCGCTGGTTGCCTTTCGGTTTGATGGTGGTGTCTCTTGTGTAGTTGGATGGATTGGATACGTACGTATGCTTCGTCGTCGTTGTTGTTGTTGTTGGTGCAGTGGCCCGTTAGACGGAGAAGAGTTGTAATTATTAAGCATACCATTGCTGGCGCCGACTGACCTCCGCTACGGGCCTCATTAGCCAACTCAATTTGCCATCAGCAATACACATGCACGGCGAGTGTGGAAAAGAGACCAACAGCAGCAGCAGCAACAAGGAGCATAAGAAGAGGCTACGCTGTTGAAGAAGAGACTACGTACACTCTATACGATCTATTTTTACCTTCGATAATTATTTAATATGGACACGGACGCATTTTGCAAAATTATAAATAGGATCTGCGCGAGAGGAAGGATGGAGGAAGATGCCTCCTCCTCCTCCTCCACCACCACCTCGCCTTCGCGGTCGTCGGTCCTGCTGCTGCTGTTGCGGCGTGCATTAGAAAAGGAGCCGCAGAAATGTGCAACCCCTTCTGGGCTTCGTAACCGCGTTTGACCCCCCATCGCAAGGCTGTTTCAAGGCCGATCGTTGGCCGATCTAGCTGCTCTTACGAGGTCGTTTCTTCACTTTGCTCTCATTACACCTCTCTCGGTAATTCCACGCACTCTCCTTCTTTATCCTCCTTTGCTTCTTCATCACCACCACCACCACGCCATCATCTTCTGCACCTACTCCTTATCTTCGTGTCGTTCCGAGCCGTCGCTCGCAGGGGGTCATCGTCACTTCGTTCTTTTGTAACAATAACATCGACCAAAATAAAAGAGAACGAGTCTTCGTTGCCTCTTCAAAACTTTCACTCGCATTCTCCGCATTTTATTCCTTCGATTATGTACAAAATGATGGAAATAACAACGATCTGCATGCATGCGTTGTGTTCATTAATAAACCGATTTTGCGTTGCGAAATGACTGGTTCGTGTATTCCTGGCGGCCTTGTCACTCCTCGCTCGCCATTGCCGCAATCATGAACTTGACCGTGCTAATGCACAACAGATGCAGGAGAGGATGTGCGGATGCAAAAAAGAAAAGAAAAGGAAGGATTGGGTAGAAGAGGAAAAATAAATGGAAATGAAATGCTAAAGATGAGACGCGTTAATTGCTGGCACAAAACGGCGAGCAGCGATGTTTGCACAAACTTCGCATTCCTCTGTCTTCTGAGGGACAGAAGAGAGGAGGCGAATAATTTACTAGAAAATGCTAAATTCTTCGTTGCATTGCGTTCGTCTCCGATTGGAATTACATCCAAACTATTTATGAACAATTATTGCAGTATCTTATCAATTTCTATAATGGACATTCGGTATTGATTACTGTTTGATTTTACTATAATTTTAACTGCATTTAAAATAAATATAGCTATAATTTGATGATGTTTGTTTCAGATCCTCAATTGCAGTCCGGCTACACATCGGAACTGCAGGAAAGGGCGCTCGTCGTGTCCCTGCAAATGTTCAGTCTGATATTGGAGAAGTGCGTTTCACTCCTCAAAGATTGCGTCCATAGTTCTCCTGCTATTATGAGCGTGATCCCGCAGGACGTGCACGAGCTTCTGCCCTCCATCAAGATATGGTGCGACTGGATGCTCTGTCACAGCAGGATCTGGAATCCGCCGCCGTCCACGCAGGACTTCAGAGTCGGGTGAGTGGGCAGGAAAGGACGACCTTCCTTTCCGTCCTTTCCTCTCCTAATGCAGCGTCGCCTTCCAATTAACCGCGGCTAATTAATTTTTATTATTCTGCCAACAGGCCGACCGGCGACGATGCCTGGACGAGATTAGCGGCTCTCATAAATCAATTAGATAAATTCGACATCAGTATTCAGGCGTCGTTCTTGCGCGAGCCCCAGGAAGGTGAGAGAGCTCAATTGATTTTGCATTATCGTAGTCCATGATTCACCACCAACATCCACCTCCTCCTCATCCTCCTTCCCTCCTCAGAGTGGTTGGTAGCTGCTGCATCCGCAGACCAGAAGGGCGGAGTGGAGAGGAGAGAAGTGGCGTTGTCGGTTGGCATCGAGTGGATGTGTCGAGGCCATCTGCTCCTGGCAGTCACGTAACCAAAATCCGAAATTAATACGCCTCATTTCATAATTCAGTTTGATGATCCGTCGCACCCCGCATAAAATGGGGATTTTCATTAAATGAATATTAATTGTGAAGCCATCTGCCATCCCCCATTCAGATCACGTACCCATTGATATCGGTTATTTCATTACATTCTTGATCCGAATCTCCAATCTAGAAGCTGAAAAAACCGATCATTTTTAATATATTCAAATCTTAAATGCAACAAAAGTTAACATATTATAATGCAAATAGTTTTACTTAATTCATTTTTAATAATATTAACATATAATAACAAGAACAACATTGTTATAATTTTATTAACTGTTGTAGCAAATATTGATAACGGTGATGGCAATTCGAATCTCTTAATTTTTTTTTGCTCCAGTAAATGCAAGCAATATTGTCCGTCTTCCAATTGAATCGAAATGTATTTCGCCTGGAGAGCCGTTCTCTCCACCAATTACGGGCGTCCTAAAAGCTTTAAGTATATAAGTGATTACCATCATCGACTTCATGACGTCAATAAAAATGATATAATGGGAGATTACGTACGGCTCTGTGTATGCATTAAACACTGCGGGCAAAGATAATAGTTACGGGAACGCAATCTGACCTAATGAGAGACCTCGTAAAACAATTGCGAAGCACGGTTATAAAGCCCCCTTGAGTCTTCGTTAAACCTTCGAAACCTTTTTTCTTTTCTTTTCCATACAATTGTTTGATGAAAATGTGCGAACATTGTAAATTCCGTAATTTCTACTGGTGGTACAGATTTGAAACTGTGATATTTGATGGTATGAGATTGTAAAAATGAATCGCGTGGTCTTGCGTTTTCTGATTGAAGATTTTGCGAAGAAGCTTTAATTGGTGCAGTTTAAATTCATCGGAGTGCTTCGAGGTTTTCGGTAGTCTGTTGCCAAGGGTCAAAGAGGATAGAAAACGTACGGCGGGGGGATTCGAGGGGGGGTTTGATCCTCGTTCGATTTCATTATTTATAAATTTTCGCTTTATATGCGCCCCGGCAATGATTTACACAGATTGCGTTTCGCACGGGGAATTTTAATTGGGTCCTTCTCTCCAAAAGAAGTCCGACCGAATGCCCCTTCGTCTTTTTCTTCGTTATACCTCCGTTCAACTATTTTTGTTCCTTTGTTGTTTAGGTTACGATCAGGTGAGGCTGCCCGAGGATGCAGCGCTATGCGGCTTCACTCCGCTCCTCTGCAACGAGCAGGACCCGACCTACGTGCCAAAGGACCTCGACTCGGAGACAGCGCAGTTCGTACAGAGACTGGACAAATTGCTGTTCTTTGGCACCGTGTTTCTATGCGGATTGGAGCCGCCGGTCCTGAAGCTCGAGTACCAGAACGACTTCAGGGAATACGTGTCGGTGGTATGCACGACGGCGCAGCGCAGTTCGCCGAACACGCCGCCCGAATTGGTAAGACGAAGACACGAAAAAAACCCAAATTCTAGTCGGGATCTTCCTTTTGTTCTGTTCTCGATCCTTAATTCTTTTCTCTCTTACACACACACACTTTTTTTAAATTTATTTATTCGTTATTTATGTTCGCATTTCAGGGCGAGCTGGTGGAGAGTTTCAGCGAGGAAGAGGAGGATGGCGCCGAGCCGCGCCTTCAAGACAAACACTGCGTTCAACCGACCGAGATCCAGGAATTGTTGACCCGAAAAGTCGAGCTGGAGAAGCGACACCGTGACCAAGAACTACACCGTCAGACCGTCCAGGTAAGATCCCTCTACTCTCTTAGTATTATTATTATTTTTTTTTTTGCATATCTTTCGCCCACCTCTCAATTTGCTAAATTTAAGATCATACACTGATTCTCATGATATATTGAAGACCGACCTCTCATGATCAGCTACAAAATGACTCCTTCCATTAAACCATTTTGCAGATAATCTCTATTGCAATTAAATTAATATCGATGATGAAATTGAAAAAAATATAATTATAATATCCAAGATTATAAATACAACAAGAACACATTAATTTAAGGACTTGGAATCAATTTTTAACATTATTATATTACGTTTTACTATAATTACTTGTGTTTGCTGATAGATTATCTGCAGGATTCCGCTCAGCCGTTTCAGGCACTCCACTTGCTCGCGTTTTAACTAGAGTCATTGACTTTATTGTATCATAAATATAATATATATAAGGAGATACATTAAATGGTTTTATGTAATAAGCACTCCTGGCAAAAGGTAATAAGGTATGGGGCATAAATTTGAACCAATCAAAGACCTCGTAAAACTCGATTTCATTTACAACAAATTTCCTCTAATGCTCCATAAATCTCTATATTTTGTCAATGCTAATCATTACTATTTTTTTGTCTTCAAAATAACTAAAAACAGTAGTAGTAGATTGCAAGAAGTGTTAGAATTTTTAAGTTGGAATGAAAAACAGTCTGCTTGTGCAGTTTCTTAAGAAATTTAAATGAATTGTAGAGGCGATACTCGGAACACCTGAACACACCTAGAGGTTGTTATTCCATTAAAGCTGTTCTCTTTTTCACTGCAACATCCTAAATTCCATGTGAACGCGATTGGCCCTGGAAAAAAAAGATCGATTTTATCGTCGTATCGCGAGTCAGAAACTGCAGGTAATAATGGAATAATGAAATATTTACGGTCCACAAAAAAAAAAGATGAGGAGGAGGAGGAGAAGGCTCTGTTCTCTCACAGTCTGCTGATCCTGGATTCTTATCGTCCAGCCGTAAAGGCTGCAGGACATGACCGTAATCATACGAATATTATAATTTTAGAGGAGAGCATCATCGCGGAGCGTAATTTTTTATAGGCCCATTACTTTCATGAAAATTTCATGAAAAATTGATCGCACGCCGTGTTTCTCTTCTCTCAAGGTTTTCGCATTTAATCACTATTATGAATTACATTAATTGCACGCTCTGCTACTTATATTTTATATTAAATGCTCACTAAGAATTATTGTTTTACGGAGATGCCGTTGATAATCACATGAATTTCATAAATTACGCCACGACGAGTTTTCCCGCCGCAATTAAATCCGACACTTCGCCGTAAACACAATGCCCTTCTTGAATTACTTCTTGAGTTACTTGAGAAGAAGAAGAAAAACAAAACAACGTAGAATTGTCCATTTTGTTTCTTACTGTCTACTTTTAATTGAAAGATTATTAAAAATTCACTTTCAGTATGCAAGTTAATGATTAGCATTTGTTGCATGATTTGAACTAAAAACCTATTTTTTTGTGTGTTAAACTGGATATGAAACAACCGTTTCTTTCTGGCTGAGGCAGAAGGCTGTCGTCGTCCCTCTAGATCTCGGGCGCGTTCATATTTGATAAAATCCATCCGGCTGGGATTAACTGTGAAACGGAATTCCGCAACAGTGAATAAATTAGAAGTAGAGAGAAACAAAAAAAAAATGAGCCGAGCGTAGTCCACCTGGGAAGAGGAAGAAGTTGGTGAGAGATGCGGGTTATGCAGATTGCGTTTTCCGAAAAATCGTACTTGTTGAAGTAATAGTTGTTGTTGTTGTTGTTTTAGTTATAGTAGTGGGATGTGGACAGTGCGAGATCCCATTAACGAATTAAGGAAATGACATTCGTTAATGGCTTCGGTCCGTTCCTTTTAATTAATTTGATCGAGCGAAACGCGCGATAAAATCCAGTTTATATATAATGCCGTATAATATAATACATTATCAGAGAGCTAAATGTAATCTCCGTCAGGAGAGTAACGACGAAAGCGGGTAGTTTACTGCTAACGGTAAAAACCGTCTGGAAATGCAGCGCATAAATGTGCAGCTTGCATACGTACACACAAGGAGGAGGATGGTTGGATCTAGCGAAGAGAAGAAATGCGTACTCTGCGCTATCACACTATATTGCAGCTTTCCGAGGTGGCGTCGCAGCGTAACCACATGGCGCTTAAGACAAACACTCACATGCATGCATGCACGCCTCTCCCTATCGATTACGTCCGCAGTTGAGCTCCCATTGTTGAGCCATTGTGGTTGCTCTGTTGGTTTGATGTCCTTTCTACGAACCGATTGGACTTGCGGACGTCGAAGAGCAAGCAGCAGTAACAACAAGAAGTCTGCTAAGGCTCGAGGTATGAGTTGCTGCAGCAGCTCGCTCGAACAATTACTCAATTACATCACATACGAAACCGAATGAATTCTCGGTAAAATTGAGACCGGAAGACGCCGCATTGTTGTTACGCAGCCTCTTGGCCATCGGCCAAATGAACCAGCGTCGCAATAAATAAATTATCCACACACCTACGCGCCTTTCCCACGGTTGCAGAAAAAAAGAAAAAAAATCAAAAAATAATTACATGCGCGCTCGGAAGACGTAGAGAAATGCCCGGCGATTTGTCCGTCGCCTTGACTTACTGAATAATAAGAACTGGATCAAACTCGAAAAAGAAGCTAACAGCAACAACAGCAGCAGCAACAACACGAAGAGGTGCGAGAGGTAAAATGAAGAGAGATAGAAAGAAGCACATTCTTTGCGTTCCGTGCAAATTGTGCTCGGACGCCTCTATAAGGTCATGCCCATTACCACCAGGCAATACATATTTTAATTATTAGTTTTCCCTCCATCCGACTCGATCTTTATCATTCAACTAAATCGTGCAATAACTCAATTGAGAGAAGTACTTATTAATTTCTAACGATTCTCTAAACATTCTTCTCAAACAAACATCCAATTGTATTCTAAAAACTGCTGTTAATAATTAATTATCTAACATTTGCTTAAAAACTTCTAGTAATCGAATAAATTAATTTTCAGAGAAATAATTTTATTGGTTGTAAATGTAATTATTCGATTAAAATCAACATCGAAATGAAATTGTTTGTCCGTTACAGATTAACGTGGCGATCATATTAATCGGATTGCCTCGAATATGCTTTTGATCATCAACTCTAATAAGAAAATATCGGGTTTCATAAACGCTGCGGGCGTGCAGTGCCCGAAAGCCGTGCGCCTGTTATTAGTGGGCATTAAATGTTGTAATTATTTCACTTCTTCCATCAATCATTTCAAGAAAAAGCCAATTAAAATTTAAGAGATTTAAGTATAAAGAATTAATTATTCGGTAGTAATTATCGTGAAAATTACACTAAACATTAGCGATTTAATTAGATAATTATTAAATGATGTTTTTTATATTTATTGTGTGAATTATATGAAATGTACGTGGAGCAGTCTTAAATGGATCTTGGGAAAATGCGAAGAGTTTGCACGATATATTCAATAATTCATGTAGTATTGAAATTCCAGGGGATGCATGCATTTTATTGCGTTTTAATATCATTTCTTGTGAGTGTAAGCAGTGAGAATTCAAATTTTCGGATGTAGTAAATGTTTGTTGTTATCTGTGCATGGAATGGTGGAAATCTTAAGTGTATTGCGCGACGCGATAATCCGTCTTTCGTTCTATTATATTTCGCTGGAAAAGCTGGAGCTGGAGCATATGCGGTTCGTGTCGAGAACAATAATAAAGCTTAATGTTGTTTAGTGCAGATTTGAATGTGAGCAGCTTCCGCCGTTCACTATTCACGCTATTATCGCTTCCATCACAACACACACACACACTAACAGTGCAGAAGAAGTAGTAGAAGGAAAAAAAAAGTAGCACGCACGAACTTCGAAACGTTTCCTCCTTCAAATTCCAACTCTTGCAATCTTTCCGAAAGATCCGAACAATGAAAATAATAATAAACCGAAAAAGTATTAAAAATTGTAATTGGTAATAATGCAGGAACTGTCTGCGTTTGCGAAGACTGTTATTATTGAAAACGTATGGTTTAAGATTAATTAAATATGTGGCGATGGAAATGATCCGGTTGTGTTGTATGCTAATGGTAGAGAGCGTCTTCCTGCTTTTCTTGCGTTTCGTTAATTCGGGGTGAAATCTCTTCGGATTACATAATAACGATCCCAGGTTGATGATGATGATGGTGGTGGTGGCCGGCATCGTTCTTCGCAGAACTAATAAAGAAATTAGCATAAACGCAGCCAAACACGATTTATAATATAATATTTTCCATGATTTACGCACAGCTCACGCTCGGTGAATGAAGAGGGGGGGGGGAATGGGTTAGGACACGTTCAGTCACCAAGAGGTGATTTATAATAATTAGTGAATTTCACGCGGAATCAATTTCGCGCGATCGCCTTGTCTCTTGAGACCAGTTGAGAGGCGGAGAAAGAGGATGATTATGATGCAGGATGTTCTCACGGTTGTTTGCCGCAATTGAAAATCATCTGCGAATCGAAAATGATGGAAATTCATTTGACTGTATGTTTTTTGTTTGCAGAAAATCCTGCAGTCGGGCGCGATCAGCGTTCACATCGTCGTGAAGCCCAAAAACCTTGTGCCTGACACCAACTGTTTCATCGATTATTTAGGAATGCTGAAGAAAATCGCCTCGTCCAACGTGTACACGCTCACGGTCCCGGTAGTTGGTAACTATCCTGCAATAGATTAATAATTATGTGACTAATTCGTTTATTTTTCTTCTGAAGTGTTAAATGAATTGGAAGGTTTAGCGAAGGGTCTGCGGACGGTCGGCTGCTCGCCCAGGAGCGTCGACCCAACGCACGCCGCTAAAGTCGCCGAATTCTCCAAGCAAGCACTTGAGTTCCTATCCACGAAGCATGCGGGAGTCAAGTGCATCACAACCAAGGGAACGTTCCTAGCGTCGACGGTCTTTACGAAGGAAGACGACACTGTCGTCGATGCCGCAATGACCAATGACGATAGGATACTTGCCACATGCATGACCCTTTGCAGAGGCACAGTGGAGCACGTACCTGGTAAGTGTCTCTTTTACTCTTCCCAAAAACCAGCATCTAACTCTCATTTGATCAAAAAAAAAAGGTGGACCTAGGAAGTTACACAGAGAGGTCGTCCTGCTGACCGAAGATCGCAACTTGCGGGTGAAAGCTCTGGCGCGCGACGTTCCCGTGCAGGAGGTGCCCAAATTCCTGGAATGGGCAGGCCTTGGTTGAGCCGTCCCCAAAAATACTTCGCTTAAACAAAAAAAAAACAACAACAACTATTCGAGTGCATCGGCCCTTGGACCTCACCACCACTGAATTACGGGTAAGTCCATCAATCAAACGGCGTCTTTCCCTTCAACAAGACTTACTAACCGTCACCATTCAAGTTTCATTTATAGGTCTTAAATGTGTGTCTCCGCAAATGTTAAAAATCAAACAAACAAAACGGAAGGATCCACCTTCTGACATCTCCTCCCAACTCTCTCCCATATGCAAAACAAAATTTTTTGTTGTAGTCAAATCAATGTTGAAACGAAAAAGAAAAGAAAAATACGTATGGTAAAATGGTGTTGTCGCATTTCGATGTTGTACACACAGCAAAGTCTGCGTGCACGTAGGACGGTCGTTTCCATGTGGGTTTTCTGCACACATATTCTTCAGTGTCAACTCTCCTGCCTGATTATTATTTCAACTCTCTCGGTTGTGAATCTGCATTCCAGCAAATGACAACAACGTCCGTTCAAGCAGCATCTCGAAATAATCTTACCTAACAACACGCCATCTCTACACTACATTTTATATCCTGGCAACAACAACAACAAAAACAACAAAATTCGAAAGAAAAATCAGAGAATCTTAACAACTAATTACTATTATTCGTTTATTATATTTTTTACTTAATTTTACGCTGCATAACGTTCGTGTATGCATTATATATATATATTATATATAAATATTATTATGAAACTCCTCTCACATTTGTACATTTGTTTTTATTAAGTTTATATAATTATTGTATTTTCCTTGATTTATATTATATAAAAAAAAAAAGAAGAAGTTCATTTATACATATATTATAGAAAATAATTATTTTTTATCATTGCTCTTATACATATATAAACACACACACAAACACATATATTTTATCAATTCTTTACTTTATTACTATTACTCTTTTTTTTTGTATGTACTTATTATAAAATGATATATAATAAGCAACTATGTTTCATATTAGCTCAATTGTGCCATCCGGCTATCTTCTTTATTATTATTATTATTATTATTATTCTTTATAGTATTAGTGTTTTTATTTTATTTTTCATTTGTTTCCTTCTTGTTATTCAATTCATTCTTATATATATATATATATATATATTTAATTTGGATTTTTAAATATCATATTTTTCGTGTAATTTTTAAAAAAACAATAATATTTGATTTGCTCAGGAAAAAAAATTTCGAAAAGTTTTCGTTCGTTATCTTAATATTATTATTATTTTAAAATGTTGATGATGATGATGATGATGATGAAAGTGAGAAACGAGAAGTAACGAGAACAAAATGATAATAAAATGTATATTTCTTAGTAATCGCATTTTGAAAAACAGAAACCTTACACTCTACACTCCTCCATTTATATTATTGAATTTTCAGTTAAGTTTTTGTTAATGGTTAAGGTAAGAAGGTAAATTGTGTATATATTTGTTGAGGTAAGTTACATTTGTTTTTCTAGTTCAATACGTTTTTTTTTATTTTGTTGATCAAATCCTCTCGAAGCTTACATTGAAATCGAGACATCGTAACATCCTGACCTATGTTTATAAAACGCCTACGTGGATGTTCGTCCTACGCGGCTCAAGATTTATCTCTCTCTTTCGAGACATTCGATATTCTTTTAGGGTGGGTCAATAATATTTTTGGATAACTTGTATTGAATTGTGAATTTCTTAAGTAGTAGCAACAACAACGTAAATTAGAAAGAAGAAAACATTGTGTAATTCGTGATAGGTTTCCCAAGGACAAGAAGGTGCAAATCTTTGGTCTTAATTTGTTAGAAGGAGAAAACGGTGATCGTGTTTGTGCGAAAATTATGATAAATTAATTACGGAGCGGCTATAAATAGTTATAATAAATGCGGTGCGTTTATTTATAACTTCTTCGTGAAACGAGCGGATGGAGTTTACGTAAGAATTTAATTTGCGGCCGAAGCTTGAGTGAAATTCATAACTCTTCGATGCGAATCTATGGTTAACTGTATTCTGTCTGTTGCTTGCATATATATATATACAAAACGAGCAATTTATTGATGAGGCCGTGTATGCGGTAATTATTTTTGTGCCCCGGCCTTCGTCTTCTGCTAGCTCTCTTCGCCATGACGACTTTGACTGAGACACCCTTTTTTCTTTCCTCTTTCGTTACCGCTATCTTCCCGAGCAGCAACAGAAGCTGGCGTCTACTGTTGTTGCCTGTAGTTGTTGTTGTTGCATCAACAGAAGCAGCAGGAATAACAACAACAACAACAGCAATGCAAGAAGCATTGGGCGAATGAAGAGAAGAGATGTTGATGATGAAGGTTGCGTGAGAAACAGTGCCGGAACCTAAGCCTGTGTCACTTTTGTTGCCACGCCCGTGGATGTTATACCGAGTGTTGCACATTTACATGACATTTGATGCCGTAATGGACGGTCTATTTGTGATGAGATGAATTGGCCGCCGGCAGGGCAGCAACGCCACCGCAGCATCGCGCCTTTATTTACTGCAAGAACCGTGCTTTGAAGAGGAAACGAGATGAAGAAGTCGAGGTCCCCATCGTCGTCTTCTTCTCTTCTCTCTCTCCCTATCGAACGCACGCAGCTTCCCAACGCGTCTGAAGAGAAAGAAGAGAGATGATCGATGCACACACAGATTTCCACGAAGACCCAGGCATAAATCGTCGGCTAACAAAGTTCACGATTTCCATGATCCGATGGACGTAAGCTATGAAAATCGTAATTGTTTATAAATACCGCTTGAGCTCGAGCAACGAACGAAGAAGGAAGCGGAGATAGCGAAGAAAGTGCGGACGAACGAAAGAAAAAAAAACATTGAGTTCGAGTTCAGTTCGAAAACTGATTTATGGCCGGTAGTCCATGGAAACCGCTACCGCAAATCGCGTGCAATTCATTCCTTCAGTTTTTCCGGCGCGTTTCATTATTTGAAAAGCGCAGCATTAAATTTACGCTTCGATCTATCCCACCGACCATGAAAGCACCAACAATGTAATCACCTGAATGCTAAGAATTCTCCTTCAACGCACACACAGACTACTTGAAAATCTATACAAAGTTAGTTTCCTCGAGAGATAAGTTATTTAACAACAACAACATTGAAAATTGATATGTTTCAATTAAAATTTTGACGTTTCTTCGTCACTATCTTACTTGTGTACGATTATTTCTTTTCTTTGAATTTATATTGTGATTATGTGTTGGATGGTTTTTAATGGAATTAGTGTTTAGAGTCTGCTGGAGTGTGTGGATGCGAGTGAGAGAGAGAAAGAGATTGCATTAAACCGTTGTTAAAACATTAAACGTTATGCAAATTTATAGTAAATTGGCGCGCCGGAGGTGAAGTGGAGAGGTGCCAGGTCGTTGGACGGTCGCATCTACTATTATTTTAGTGCACTTTAAAGCCTTTTAATCCTTTACTTAAGAAGTAGAAAGTAAAAAACAGGATTAAAGTTTATTTATAGTTAAGAAGATAAATCTTCACGTTTCATATAAACGAATGCTTCTGGAAATCATGTAATTTTGTAAATAAACTATTGTTTGTAATGATTACTTGTATGGAAATGCTGGATTTTATTATTAATATTATTAAAGGACTCTTGGATGCGGCGAGCGAAAATATTGAGGAGTGTTTATTTATATTACATATTATGCGGCATCTCGAAATGGCTCAATTAAATCAACACTCGAATGGATGGGGGAAGTTGAAGAAAAAGCAGCAGAAGAAGAGGAAGAAGATTGGTGGATATTCAGTGTGGATGTGCCGAGCCGCATTTGGCACCGAACAGTTAAGTAAATTTAATTAAAGGCATACTTTATCTCTTTCTCTCTTTGGATAACCCGGCGAGGTGAGCTCTTCGGACAATTGGGCTCGCAACTGTGTCAGAAGGGCAAAGGTTCACCGACGTTTTATTTCCTCCTCACAACACAACGAATCATTCCTTAATGTTGCTTACATTTTCTTTTTAAAATTTCTTACAATTTGCTTATACGTTTTTCTTCTCATCGCCATCTTCTGTGCTCTTTGCCAATTTTTTTATTTGTTGTTGATGTTATTTCTCTTCGTCTTCGTTCTTTTGTGTTCTTCTTGTGAAGCAGCCACGAATGAAGGTATTTATGTCTAATCAATAATAAGCAATTCTACGGCCGTTTTGAGCTAAACTCTGTTTATGTTCTCGGCCTTGCGTGTGATTGCCGTGACCCCGAGACCGCCTCAAGCCTTGAACTATCGACTCGGCTCTATTGTTGAAAACCGCGATGCGATGCGAATACGCGATCTGCAAACTGCAACACACAGACAAACACACACTCATCCTCTCCTTTTTATATACCTACACACTCGCACCAACACACTTATTCTTCGTCTGCATTTCGTTCTTTCCTTTCCTTCGCAGCATTAATAATAATGCGTCCGGTAAACTCCAAGAACCAAGAAAGTAAATCCTTTTTCTTCACAGATTCACAAAATCAATCAATCAATTCTAATTGGTAAAAATGTGTTTTATGCAATAAATTCGTGCGTTACAGACTTACACGTATTAATTATAATGAGATTGCGTGAAAATATCAAAAGAAAATGTTAAAATGTCGATGTTATACGTTTTTTTATGAGAGATGTTAACGATGCGTCAAGCGACGAACCCGCTCGAAACTTCGAGTTAAACGAACGCGCAACGATTCGATTCTTATTAAAACTAGGTAAACTTGAAGCGTGTATTGTATTTATTATACAAGAGTGATTGATTGTTGAAAATTAATAGTTTTTTTTTTTTTATTTTTGTACGGTATAAAGTCATCATTAATTATTGGAAATAAATGGGTTTCGAGGATGCGAACGCGCATAATTTACCGTCTTAATATAACTAATTAAATGCAATCCGAATGATCGAAATTCATTTAGCGTTCCAGGTAGCGGATCGCGGCGCGTAAAAATAGCTTCTCTTCGCTTCTTATCCATTAGCGAAATGAACGGACGGAAGATAAAGAGTCGCAGATAGTGGTGTGTGGTGTGCGCGGCGAGGCTATGGCGGTGGAATGTAAGAGGGAGAGAGAGATAGATAGAGAGAAGAGGATGATGGTACTAGATGAAAAAGAAGTGGCGGGACGAAACCTGCAATTTATAAATAGATCTGTTTATAAACGTCGGACAGGTATTATGTATGCACGTCAAAGATTTTATGCCAATATTCGACCTATAGCTCGAAGATTATAGTTATCTAATGTGTATCATCTGTTGGCGAAGATTTGCATGAGCCTGACGGCAGATGCATGTGTGTGTGCATGCCTTCAAGTTCTTGTTGCATGTCTATGTGTGTTTGTACGCAACTAGAATTCCTCCTGTTGAGCAAAGGATGGCTCACAGGAGTTAGGTTTAGAGTTTACCATCACCGCACGTTGCGTACGGGGGCCCCCACGTCCCCGGTAATTACAATTTTCTATTTAGATTTAACGATATCTCGTAAAGTGGCGAGAGAGCGCGCGATTTGCATTCCAATTTCGCGAAATAAAATCGCACGACTTCTCTCCACTCTTCCACTTCTTCGTTCTTGCGCTCACCACGGGCATCGAGAGGGATCATCTTAAAAACCCATTTCGACGTCCATTTACATCCAGTCGGAATCCATTATTCACATGGCAAAACGATCTACTTACAACCCATATTAATTTAACTTTACTGCCTTCTCCTTCGTACGCCGTGTGCACGCCA